TAGTAGTAGCAGTAATAGTAGTAGTAGCAGTAGTAGTAGTAGTAGTAGTAGTAGTAGTAATAGCAGTAGTAGTAGTAGCAGTAGTAGTAGTAGTAGTAGTAGTAGTAGTAGTAGTAGTAGTCTTGTTGTAGTGGTACTAGCTCTTGCTGTAGTGTCTGCCGTTGCTGCTTGGGCTGCTCCGGCGATCTTGCTGCGGTTCATGTGCGATAGTGGACTGGGCGCTTATGTTCGGGGTAGACGGAAAGGGGAGGGTGCATGGCTCCAATAAGAGGTTGTTGAGCAACAACCTCGCAACATCAATGCTGGATGCTGCTGAGCCTTCTGGGCGGTAAAGCTACAATACGTGATGCGTTCGGCGATGCGAAGGACTGTGAAAACGACCGTGCCAATGCCGAGCATGCAGCGCAACTTCATGTCGGGATCGTGCATACCGCGCATGTATTACAGGAATACAGTTCTACTTGTATTTTGACGATAGGTCAGGAAGAGTATCAGTCACTATCTTAAAAGCCGCTGTGAAGAGCTTCTAAACCTGGAGCCTGAAGACCTCCGAATGCTTAGGCCAACAACGCGGCAGTAGCTTGAGGCCGGGGATTTGCATGAATTACGATTGCGGTTTGACGAGTCCTTTAGTTCCATATGACAGGGCGACAAAGTTCGAAAGTGCGGGGAGGCTCTCTGACGGCTGCTTGCAACCGGTCTAGGGTACGGTTCAGGGTTAAGCGATATTAACCAGCGATCTTACAACAAATGCCTCTCGAGCAGAAGAAGAATCGAGTTAACCCGGATTTGGTTTGGAACCTCTATATCGAACTGGGATCCATAAGACGTCGTACACGCCTGACGAATCAGGATAAGGCTTATACAAACGGAGCACTGGAGAGTCGAGAGTACGGCAATGATATTCAGGATTCGACGTGAAAGACTTGTACGATTTGAGGTTCGGCACGCGGGGCTTATATTGCAAGATTCACGGTTTAGGCTGAGCCGTGGCCTCACTAGCTGAACCCTATAGTATCCTTGTAGTAACCTTAAAACTATCCCTACAGTAACCTTATAGTACTACCCGGGGTAGCACCATAAACCCGAATATACAGCGTATGCCTCTGCGTGTTTGACCCCCTGTACCTTGATGTCGTCTTGTGGGCGCTCGTCGGTCGTACATGACACAACGTTTCTATCCGCTTTGAAGGGTTCCCGGTTTAAGGCTTCAGGGTGCAAGGGTTCAAGGTTTCTGAGTCTGAGGGATGTATTACACAGCGTTCTTCACCATGCCGGTGTGGGGTTTAGGTTTTAGGGTATAGGGGCCTCAACAATCACAAGAGAGTTTTGTAGTTTTGGCCCCTTTAAAGTTTAACTGCTAAGGAATCCTAAAGAGTAATATTGGAAAGGCTTCAACATTATGTTGATTGCCATGGCCGTCACGCTGGGCATCGGAGGGTGCTCCCGTGTCCATTGACAGGGAAGCTGCAGAGACCGGGAGAGCGAGACTGGGTTCTTGTTAAGGGATTTAATGTAAGTTACCATATTTAAAGAGCGAACAATACTCTATAACGGTAGCTTAAATTAAACTCCTTAACAAGAACCCAGGACAGGGAGAGGTCCTGATCATAAGTGCCAGCCTGATGATGGGACTGCCAGGTTTCGCGAAGAGCTTTGGGGTTGCAGGGTTGGGGTTTCTAGAGCAGTAGCCTTCAGGCTAAAGCGGCATAGGGTCTCATTGTTTACTTCTGCCTTTAGTTGGTCTAAGTGCAAGGCCGGTATTGAATGGCTTGGGATGTGGTCGAAAGAACGATCAAGGCTGTAGGCCGTTGTAGGGTTGTTGGGTGAATGAATTATCCAATCGGATGGGGAGGAATAAACAACTCCTGGCAAGTGAGAACTACTTCCAAACCGTGCTTTCCCTAGCAAGATGTCTGTGGACGTCCACTCTCAGCCTGTTTCTAGTCTGGGCCTCTCTGCACACTTGTTGAGCCTCAGTGGAAGCAACCTCCACAGCTTCATACTTTGTCCACAATCCAAGGGAAATCCTACATTCCGCGCAAGACACAAGTGTCAACCCAGCCACAGCAGCAACCTATCGCATTCACAAACATCAACGCAGCCTCCGGGATTCGCAATTTGTTTCGGAATCCTTTCTTGCTCTTCAGCTCCTGATCCCCAAACCCTACATAAAACGCTCGCCTGAATCCTATCCTACAAGGCGAACAGGGCTATACTCGGCTGTACTGCGGCCGTCTTGGGGTTTAGGGTGTTGTTTCTCAAACTCCCTACAAGAGCACCCTTTGTCCTTAAGAGTTTCATTATGGAGACCCAGAAAAAGGACTACGCAACTCGGCCTCATTCTTTCCGTCCGCCAAAAAGATCGGATGGGCGAGCCCTGGGCAAAAGCAATTTGCACAGGGGCTTTATGCAATAGAATAGAGTTTGGGGTATAACTACTGTACTAGACTTCTGCTCGGGTCTACGATGTGCAACTATTAGTGTTCCGATTAATGAGTGTGCAGAAACATGCAACACTCATTGAGAACGCATCCATTGAATTTGGGTAGAACTTGCTCTGAGCGGAGAGGATCGACTTAACCTAGGCCGCAACAACGAAGCATAAGTCCCCAAAAGCTCTGGTTAGGCAAACGCCTACATCCCGAAACTATGAACTCCAAACTGCACTGTCCACACCCTTGGCTGGTGTTGTCTGAGTTCGGGCTCCTCGCAGAAGAGTTTTGGGTTTGGCGTATGTCAAACCAAAGACCATGACTCCAACCCTATAGCATGTAGAACACTCCCAAGACGAAGTCCGGAGCACTATCTTGGTGATGCAGACATAGACGGTACTGTACTATAGGCTAAATCGGCCCGAACAAGAATATCATCCCCTCATGGTCACTGAACCATTAGTGTAAGTTCTCGCTGCAAGACATCCCAAGACCCCTGACAAATCTAGTATGGACCCTATATTCGGAGCTTAGGCTTCACTGGTCGGAGTTGACCCTTTAGGGTCTCGGGCTTGCGTGAGAGCGAGAGCGAGAGACAGAGAGAGAGAGAGAGAGAGACACAGCGAAAGACAAGGTTAAATAATGTGAAGGACAAAATACAGAGCTGGTCAGCTGAGACAAGGCACGCAAATGCAGGGAGAAATGACGTGCAAACTTCGGGATTTACTATGCTGATACTACAACTACAGACGACTCAGGAAGCAACGTAATTACCAAGTACAAACAGCTGTGGCTGAGTCTAGGTCTCAAAAGCAAGACATGCACCTGCAGGCCTGACTCCCCTAAGCCGCTAGGCCTAGGTCCGAGGCGACTGACCCTGAAACCTAAACCCTAAATCCTAAACCCGAATAGGTGGCTGAGAGGCCCCAGGATCTGACCAGATCCTTGAGAACTTCAGCATCGAACCAGACGACCAAACCTCCACACACAACGAAAACTTCCCCCACCACGACAGGACGAAAGACTAACTAAGAGAGTCCTACAGCCCTTCAGACACTAAGTTAAAGCCACATCAAGACTCCATCCCGCAAGTTCTCAAATGGAGCAAATGTTGCACTGCTGCCTGCTAGGCTGCGCGGGCAGCGGTGGAGGGATCTCCTCCTGCAACAGCTGATCTTCGTGCTTTCTCCGCTCTTCAGTTTTTGAAGCTTAAGATCATGTGATAGGCTAGATTGAATGGGATCTGTTGAGCTATCCTTCTTGCCAAACTTCTCAGGCATCTCTGATGTATGCACACACCCCATGTTTGCGGCCAAGACGAGGCTTGCGCAGGGCCAAGCGCTACGGCGGTCTTTATCCAGCCCATGTGCCCGACCATCATCTAGTCTTGAGCCTTGAGAATGTTACGGCTATCGGTATGATATGGGACAGGAGCTCTATATCCGGACACCCTGCGCTACAGGAGTCGGTGAAGAAGCTGCTGGGTCGGAGAAGTCATGCATCCACTAGTTTGGTGAGTTGGTCTATAGTAACACGCTCACGCTCACACATTCACACAACAAACGTGCATCTCAAGATTCAGCAGTCGGAATTCGAAGCGCTTTGGACGGAGAATGGCCGAACGAGCCGTGGGTCTGATCCACGTCGCAAGGACTCACGCGTCCGAGGATGACAGGCATGGGGCTTGGGCTTAGGTTTAGGATTTAGATTTGGGTTCGGGTGTACAGCTGACGGTTTCGGGCAGTTTGCGATTGATGGAAGGAGAGGGAGGGCAGCGGCGCAAAGCAAGTCCACAACACTAATGCACCAACCCTAAACCACTAAACCCTAGCCGTGGACTGCTCAAACTCGCGCAGGGTTTACCCTAAAGGCCTCAACAGTGACTACCACAACCCTTCAAAGCCCTAATGCCAAAACCCGGCCTTGGGAACCTCTTGTGGCGGGGGCGTAGAGGATCTTGGCTGCCACCTCAGAACATATAGGGCTCAGGGCTTAGAGTTCAGGGTTTCAGGTATCTGCGAGCACACAATTGAAGCCCCAAGAGCCTGCTGGATGCGGAGATCACAAATCGAATCCTGAAGACCTGGGTTTCCTGGGGGTGTCAAACAGAAATTACGCAAGGAATTACAGGGTGTGAGCTGTAGGGCATCATTTTGTGGTGGAGGGTTTAGGGGCTTAGGGTCTTTGGAGGGATTCGGAGTTTCTCTGGATAGGGGATAGACTCTCTTCTTTAAGAACTACCAGGCCCAAATAAGGCCGAAAGTCTACTGTGCTCCCGGTAACCATCTAAGTGTCGATTCAAGTGTTCAGATCGGGGGTTGCGCAGTCTCTACGATAAAGGCTTGTATTGAAGTCGAAACTCCTGAAACGCGTCCACAGTGGGCTACTTGGAGCCTTCAGATTCGATAAACTTCAGCTTCTATTGGAACGCTGTCTATGTCCAAGGCTATAGCTCATATCTCGTCCGCTGTCTCCCTCTCTCGTTCGCTTTTAATCTCTCTCTCTCTCTCACTTTCTATCCCTCTATATATATGTAGTATACGATGTGTATATGTACACATACCTGAATAGGTATATAAATTTATATATGTATATATACATACATACACACATGCACACATGCACACGCTTATCTGTAATTATTCAAGCATATTCAAGCGCTTGCAACGCACAGCCTCTTCTCCGAGCGAGACCTGCCGAGACTTGCGACTGCGCCACCTTAAACCCAAAACTATGCAACACAGAAATATGGAATGCTGTCGTGTGTGAGCCGTTTTTCCTGTAGGGGTCTGTCTCCTGAAGAACCCTAGGACATAATGCCACTGGCTATTGACAAACTTCCATGCCCGTCTTGCACCCCTGGACCGCAAAACCTTGCGGATCCAATAACCTACTAGCCCCTATTACAATTGCGGTCGAGACAGCGATAACCCTCTAGACCCGGCACATCCCAAACCCCCTGAGCCCTCGAAGCCCCATAAGCCCTAAACCCTATAAGCTCTATTAACCCCTGAAAATCTATAAACCCTGTAAACCCTAAGCCCTAAACCCGAAAAGTTCCGTGCCCTGAACCCTATAAGCCCTTAGCTAAACCCTGCAAGCTCTAAACCCTGAAGCCTATAAGCCCCAAACCCTAAACCTTCTAAGCCCTATAAACCCTAAACCCTACAAGCCCTAAACCCTAAACCGTATAAGCCCGAAACCTCCAGAAGCCACGAAGTCTCACAGACAGCGAACCCCGAGGCAGGCACGGCCATGTCTCCGACATTGCGGCGGGACCCCTGCATATCGACTCAAGGTCATGAGTATGTATGCCTTTATATATATATATATATATTGTTTTTTCTTTGTCTATATGTTTCTTTATTATATATACACACATACATGTACGTATATGTGTGTATACCTTTCAATACATGTACGTAGGCATGCATGTGCGCATGTTTGTAACTATGCACCTACGCACGTATGTACGTATGTACGTATGTA